TTAGGGCTGTTGTACATAGGGACGCTATGAGTCGCAGGTGACTCGACGGCACATAACAACAACAACAATTTAAGATTTTATTTGTATTTGACCAGATGTTTCAAAGGATAGTTAGTTAATCTAAATATGTAGTTAAATATGTACATTGCTGCAATAATACTTGTAAGAACTGCATAGTCTTATTTTAAATAATAAAATAAAAAATTAAATCCCTGTAATAAACTAGAGTTTGCTAAGAGTAGAGGTAATTGGTAACATGCACTCAAAATGGTATGTTGAGTGAAAAAGCAAGCATTGTAAATATGACTACAATCCTTACCAACACACATGGAACCATTTTTTCCCCAATAAAAAAGCGAGTCCAGAAAATGTCTCATTGTATAAAGATTTATCATTTCCAGATCACAGTGAAAGGAACTTGAGTAATTTATCAATTCTATTTTCTACTTATGTTTTAGAAATACCTCACTAAAACTGGTATCTGACACAACAGAATGATGCTTGCAGACTGTCACATTGTAGTGATAGTACGGATATTGATTATTACAGGCACATCTGGGTATTAAATGATCATCTCTTAATTAGATACTTACATAGAACATTGGTCCAATAACATGAAAAAAGAGAACAGGAGCCGGAAATGTATTTCACTTAATACTCAGACATAAAAGGTAACCATTCTGTTCATTATTCTTTGCAGATAAGTCCTTTTTCCCCCATGTTGAAATCTGAAGGCAATTAAATCCTGGCATTTTTCCAAGCTACTGTATGAACAGGATGCTGAAGGCCATCACTACACAGCATACAGCAACATAAGGACTCTTCCGTTCACCAATTCTGGCACACTTCCAAAATATACCCAATAGTCCAGTTTTATTCCTGTCCAGGACGTTGGGTGTCAAGGATCGGATATAAGCACAGGTACATATAAGAAGCAAGATTACAGTCAAAAGACTCTGAAAGTTGAAAATGGCAGACATAGGCTGGCGAAGCCACAGCCACATCACCCTTCCGGGCTCAGGGTGAAAAGTACACATTCTTATGTCATAAGTCTTACTTCTCCCATAAAAAGTAGCATATTAAACACACTTCTGTATTTTGGGGTGTTTTTTTTTTAAACTTAATTTTTTAAAACATACTCTCTTTGGCATTACATTTTCTTTGTTATGGCCTAAATAATTTATACATAAACTCTAATTTATTTAACTATGTTCCTAGCTGTTGTTGTTGTTGTTGTTGTTATGTGCCATCGAGTCACTTGCAACTCATAGCGTCCCTATGTACAACAGCCCTAAACTCTGCTCTGTCCTGTGCCAATCGCACTGTCTCTGACACACCCATCCCGATTACCCCAGTCACTGAATCAATCCACCTCATAGAGGGCCTTCCCCTCCTGCACTGTCCCTCCACCCTACCAAGCATGATGTCCCTCTCCAAGGACCCGTCCCTCCTGGCAACATGTCCAAAGTATGTCAGACGAAGCCCCAGAATCCTTGCCTCCAAGGAGTAGCTTGGTTTAATCCTCTCCAAGATGAATCTGTTTGTTTTCCTGGCAGTCCATGGTACATTCAATACTCTTCTCCAGCACCACAGCTCAAAGGCATCAATTCTCCTTCTATCCTCCTTAGTCATTGTCCAACTTTCTGATGTATAACAAGTGATTGCAAAGACCATGGCCTGTATCAGACGCACCTTAGTCTCTAGATAGACACCATTGCTCTTCAGTACTTTGGAGAGGTCCCTAACAGCAGACTTTCCCATGGCAATATGTCTTTTAATTTCCTGGCTACTGGTGCCAAGAGTGTTGACCATGGAGCCAAGCCGACTAAAGTTGTTAACAACGTCAATCTCTTCAACATCCATCCTGATGCTACCAATTTGTCCAGTGGTGAGAATCTTTGTCTTCTTGACATTGAGCCTCATTCCATATTGAAGGCTGCACTCCTTGACCCTCTGCAGCAAGTGCTTCAGGTCATCCTCAGTTTCAGCAAGCAGGGTTATGTCATCTGTATAATGTAGATTGTTGATAGATCTTCCAACAATCTTGACCCCACATTTCTCCTCACAGAGGCAAGCTTCCCGGATAATCTGATCGGCATACAGGTTGAAAAGGTATGGAGACAGGACACATCCTTGGCATATGCCCTTCCCAATTTTGAACCATGCAGTGTTTCCCTGCTCTGTTCTGATGACTGCCTCCTGGTCCAAGTATAGGTTTCACACAGCACGATCAAATGTTCTGGGATTCCCATTCTTCTCAGAGTCAGTCACAGTTTGTTAAGATCCACACAGTTAAACACCTTTGCATAATCAATGAAACATAGACAGACATTCCTCTGGTATTCTCTGCTTTCACCTAAGATCCATCTAACCTTAGCTACAATATCCCTAGTATCACGACCCCTTCTAAACCCAACCTGGACTTTTGATTTCACATGCAAGCAAGCAAGATGTTCCTAGCAGTGTATAATATTTCCGAATACTCATCATCACAAATAAAGCTGTATTTGCAAATCAAAGCATGTACATCTGTAGAGTAACTCTCAAGAACCAGAGTTGCCAGGTTATGGGGTATAGGCAATCACAACTTAAATAGTGTTTTCACTATTTGTAATTTAAACAATGCTTTCTAGTAAGATTGTATCTATTTAAATTTCCCCTAAATGTATGACAACTTTCCCCCCCCCATATGCTCCCAGAGTTTTTATTTAGGGCAATTTGATACACATAAAATGGTATTTTGTTATAGCTTAGATACTATTTCTTCTATTACTAAGGAAGCAACTCGACGGCACATAACAACAACAAATTTTGAATTAAGTTTTTCTTGAAGTTTCTTTCTACCAGATTCCTACTATCTTTAGTGATTAATTTTAAGCTTTGTAAATATTAGAATAATGGTTTCCCAATGTCGACAGTGTTTAGTGGAGTTCCCAATGGTAAAACAGGTTTGGAAGAAGGAGTGGCATCCATGTCCTAAAACACATGCCTCTGGAAACTCTATGAACTTGGAGAAATGACAATAGTTATGGAAAGGCATTAGGTCTTTTGTTCATAGAGTAGCTACGAGTCATGCTTGACTCAAGAGAAATAGACAACAGCACATATTAGAAAGATTGATCCTTTGTGATGTTCTAAAGATTTTCTCCAGGATGACATCTGCTTTTTTAATTAAAAAAATAACTAGTTTAAAACTTACATCATGAAAAAGAAATATAATAATATATTTAAGGATATGCTTAGAATAGTCATTTTTGAAAACAGTTTTATAGTTTTTAATAATGTTAAACGCTCAATAGAAAGAAGTAGATTTCTATAATCCTATTAGACAATACTTGCTTGTCTCATATAGATATAACACTAACTAGAACATTAAGAATACAATCAACAAAATAATAATCTGTCTACAAATGAACGGATAGAAAATTATAGTCACACAACGGTATACTATGCACACT